CTCCTTTCCTCTTCCAGCTGCCATTTACAGAAGGTTAAATGCCATTGCTTTCCAGAGGGAACAGATCAGGTCTTAATTTAAGCCAACAGGCTTTCACCAAGGGGGATTCAACTGCAGCATCACGGCCATTTTCCCAGTTCGTGTAATTGCACTCCTGCTTTCCCACTGTCCCCCACATTCCCAGAGTCCCAGCAGCTCTGCAGCCCCACAGGAGCTATTTGGGAAGTGGGTGGAAGCAAGCCCTGTGCCCACACAAGTGGCAGGGTGGCTAGATTCAAGGTCAGAAACATATGGTGTATCTTCAGATTTCCACCACTGCTACCTCGCCGGCCCCAGCGACCTCGCCATCCCTGCCAGGAGATCGCATAGCGGGCACCGACGAGTTCCGACAGCATGGCGTTTGCACCATGCAAAGAGAGCCTGCTCCAGGGCTTGACCAGCGTCAACAGCAGAGCCTGCAGAAGGACAACGCAAGATCCTGCTGATCACCCATTTTGGTAATCACTTAAAATAATGAAAGCAACTTTCTCCACAAGCAGACTGCATTACCCCCGCAGAAGCAGCCCCTAAAAGTCAGCTCTCCATTGCCACTTGCCGGAGCGGGGAGATTACCAACAAGTCCTACACAAAGCAATGGGTACAGATGCTCCTCTTCTCTTGGAGGGTCCTTCTGTGTTTTATAGTGTTGCAGTCTTTCCCCTTCTTAAAAAAGTACCTTTTCCCTTGGACAAAGAACTAGAAGCGTGCTACGAGACCTGCATCTGAGCAGCTGCTAAAGCTTAAATTCTCTGCTATCCACAATGCAACACAGTCAATAAGCAGGACAAGAAATGAAGCGATCACTCAAAAGCAAATTCCCAAACTTAGGAAGCAGAAGGCATCAGACTGATGAACATGCACACAACCGAACCCTGGGGAACAGAGTTCTTTAGTGGGGGAAGGAGGAAAAAAAACAAGAACATCTCTGGTGTTTTCCTGTCCAAGTTCACCTTTCACAAAGCTGAGCTATTCAGATTTAATATTTAGGAAAACAGTACGAGGGCTGTTGAGGGCTTGGCTTTTTTTTTTGTTCTTTTAATAGAAAAAAGATTAGGTCGTGGCAGGGACAGAAACCCCCCCCAAAAAAGCTAAGATCTAAGGTCAGGGGAAAGAGAGGGGAGAAAAGCAAAGTGTAGGCAGGGCTGTCGCCGTTTGCCACAGCAGGTTGGTTGCGCTAACTCGCCAGTGAGTTTGGTTGAGAACCCCAGAGCAGTACTAAATGTCACTTGTGAAAAGACACATGAGCAAGTTTTGAAGCGATGTGGTTCAGCCCAGCTGCATGGTACACAACAGAGTTACTGTAGGCTGAGAACTCGAACCAGGAGGTGCACACACAGGCGGGCACCAGCACGGATACACCGCATGAAAGCGAACAAACCTGCCCGCAAAGAAATTCTAGAGTAAGATTTAATTGCAGTGAAGGCAGACACAATCCATTTTAACACTGTCAAATGCAGCAAGTTTCCAAAGGATTAAATCACTACTTAAATCATCTCCATAATTTTTAAAAATGCCTGTAAGACAAGACGAGGAGCTAATTGTACCATTTAAATTTAGTGAAGGGAAGATTTTTTTCGTTGGGATTTTTCCTTCTTAACCGCAATAAAGAAAAAGCCCAAGGGTCTAAAACTAATAATCTAATAAACTTTGCTAAGTGAACATTGTAACAGATAGGCCTGGATGAGATTTTCTGTAAATGCCAGACAATTTCCCTTGATCTTTATCAGCAGAGATGCCACTAGCTTCAGTGGAGCAGG